GCATTGTTTTCATTACTTCTGTTCAAACTGTCCTGAGTCCCTGACAGAAATGCAGAAGGATATAGAGCGTTCTGCCACTCGTCAGTCATGTCAAACAGCTGCTGGGCGCAGCTTTTGATGAGGCTGTCAAGTGTGTCCTCCACCAGCTTCAGGTTCTCCAGCTCTCTCTGGAACTTCTGCCTGCTCTTTGGCAGAAAGCTGGAGATTGGACAGCTTCCTCTGGACAGACAACAAGTTAACTGTTACACTGTGTTACACAGACAGCGCACAGGACCTTAAGTTTAATTAAAAAAACAAAAACTAAACAAAACATCTTTAAGCAACCTCTTTCTACTGATAGAAACCCAAGAGATGTCCGTGAAGACCCACAAAGAGACCTACTGTCAAAAAATGTATTTTGTCAGCGTTTAACACACAAAAGTACTCAGAACTGAACAGTAAGAAATTAACTTTTGCTCACTCACATCCACTTAACCTTATTGGCCGTCTGCTTCTCAATGATGTTGAAGCCCTCCAGGACGTTGGTGATGTCATAAACTCGTCGCCTGCGGGTCTGCAGGCTTTTCGTCACCTCCCGGAGGTCGATCGTGCCATCGGGCGACATCAGCAGAAGCTCCAGGAAGCGCACTGTCAAAACTCCCAGAGACACATCTGAAACCAACATGACACTCAGAGGCGGAACAAGGGGATAAAAACATTTTAAGTCTACATCTTTCTATGTTATCCACTAAAAGATGTTGCAAACACAGCACAGGTTAAGACTACACACCACGTGGCTGTTAAAGTCCCAAGCCGTGAGTCTGCAGTTGGCTGGCTGAACATTTACTCGATCTTGTCCACTACTTCTCTGTATTTCAAATCTACCCTAACCCTAATAAAAAATCTGAATAAATAATAAATATCAAAGAAGGATGCACCTTGTCGGGTGGATATCCTGGTCTGTATCATCTCTTTTAAATGACTGAGGATTTCCCTGGAAAGAAAGATAAAAAATGTAAAAAATTAACTAAATTCACTTGTCATTTATAGTTAAAATGTTTGAAAAGATAAGAAAAGACAGTGAAATTACAACTTGTCCGCCATTTGTAAAATGTAGCAAGAAAGCAAAAAAAAAAAAAAAAGCATTTTGGGTTGTTTTGGGGTTTTTTTTACCTTTTTGTTCCTAAATTCGTCTTGGCATCTGGTTCCTCAAGTTCAAAAAGTGAAAACAAAGCAGATCAAAGTCAGAATGATTTCATGTCCACCAAAAAGTGATAAAACACCAACTTATTCACACCAAAACATAAGAATCAAGATTAACCCAAATAGAAACGATCAATTACAAGCTGATTGTTTAAATACATGTTTTCAAACACTGTGGTGCTGCTTATACACTCAGTTATGTCTTCAACGTAAAAAATATATTCAGTAAGTCACTCGTTTGGAACTGACAAGTAAACAAAATCAAAACAAAAAAGTTTTTAACTTAAAAAAAATGCATCAACATGACATCCCTTTATCACCCCACTCAACTAAGGTCATAATCTGGTCAAAAATTACTCCAAAGTTCCTCACAGTGGTACTGGAGGCCAAATACATTCTAGTACTCTCACTCCCAAATCACAGGTCAACGAGGCCTTTATGTATTTAACATGTGTTTATTGATTTGTGTGATTAGGTTAGTGATTCCACATCAGCGCAGACAAGGTGCTGGAGGGCCTTCAAACCAGCAACTATGAAAAAAAAAACCAACAACAAACAAAACTGGCAAACTTGGCACTTACAGACCGATGTTGTATGACTCTATACAGGGAACAGCAACCAGCTGTGAACTGGACCTTACTTTATATCACACAAAGAAATGTAGAGATAGCATTTTCTTACCTGCTTATGTGGAGTAGGTCTTTGTGCAAAAGGTATAACAGGAACATTAATGTCCTCGTCCTCTTCCTCCTCACCACCTCCTCCTCCTCCTCCAGCAGCCCACTGATCCTCCTCCTCGGACGACTCGGCCCCCCATTGACTGAGCAGACCCAGGGCTCCGTCCAGGCAGGGGGGCATTATGGGAATGGCGTCGCTGCTGACGCCTTCATCCGAGATGTCCTCTGGCAAGAAGTGGTCTTCACAGATTAGATGCTGCTCTACAGAGTCCTGCTTCTCAGTCTCCCTCAGCGCTGCAAGCCACACCTGAACACAGTTACACAGTTAGTCTTTATTGATCTCTAGTTTGACTGGCTGGGTTTTTACTCCATCACAGATATTGTGATACAGGGCCAAATTGGTAACCTGGTAGTTATTTGTGATTAAAACTGCATTTATCTGGTAGAAATAAAAAGAAAACAATATTTACTCGTCTACTGGCCAAACTAGTTTTAAATAGCGTAAACAGCACAGCTGATTCCATGTTTTGGAAATGGGTTCCTGTTCACTCCAGCTGTGTAGTAAATGAGCTAACACATGTCATCGGGGTTATTTAAACAGCAGCTGTTTAACTGGCATCGTGTTAGCGTCATGTTAGCCGGTAGAATCAGATATAAGAGATGCTAACGATCGCTATTCAAACATGTAGCTTGTAAATATGTTGTAACTCTCAAAGTTTTTTGACCCTACCTGGACACGCGCAGGGTCCTGGGGGAAGTTGAAGAACCTCTTCTTGGGTCTGTTGAAGAGCCCCCGGCTAACATTAACCATGCGGTTCGGACACCCAGAGACGACACACTTCACCATGGTAATCGTCTCTTCACCGCCCAGCCTTAACACACCGAGCGGGCAAAGCGCACATCCGCAGCCCGTTTGTAACCGTTAGCACACGAGGAATAAAAACCCGCCACAGCACGACTGGTTTGTTTGTGTCGTCTTCCACGCCGGAAATGGACATGTTTCCACCCGGAAGTACAACAACGCAGGCCAACGATTGCGATAATGCATGTGCGCCCTCTACCGAACTTATGGTTTTAGATTTATTTATGGATTTAATTTGTTTTTAAAGCTTTATTCACATATCACAGTTTGTTATTTACAATGTTTGTACAGCAAAAATTATGTCCAATTGTATTTAGACAAGTAGACATTGAACTTCAGCAGGCTTGTTTGAAACTTCATAAAAAAGGGACTTATGTGACTTTGAAAGTGGCATTGTTGTTGTTGCTAGACAGGCAATATGCAGATTTCTCAAACTGCTCAGTTTGCTCACACAACAATCTCTAAGGGAGGGGTACAAGGCAGCCTACAGAGAGGAAATCCTGAAGTTGGCAGCATGGTGTTCAGAGAACAACCTGGCACTGAACAACAAGTGTGTGTTCATATGTATATAGTGCTGCAGAAACTGTGCACCTCACCCTCCTTTCTTCTCCCACATGTTCACACTGAGTAGGAGATGCTCTGTATCTCATTGTACATCTGTATAGTGACAATAAAGGCATTTTATTCTATTTTATACTAAACAGCAATTCTGCCTTGTTGCTGGGGCAGCATCATCTCTGCTGTGGACAGAAAGAGACTGAACAGGCAAATCCATGGAGCCAGCTCTGTTCTAGGATGCCCTCTGGACCCAGTGGAGGTGGTGAGTGACCGGAGAATGGAGGCTAAGCTGTCATCCCTGTTGGACAACATCTCCCCCTCCAGCTTGGCTCTATTCTGCCCTCTATCAGTGGTTCAGGATAGTGTTATTGGTGTGATGGCATAGGGGACATTTTCTTCCCAACTTTGGGCCCCTAAGTGTTGCTTGAGTATCCTTTAAATGTTACAGCTTACCTGAGTATATTTGCTGACCATGTTCATTCCTGTATGAACAGTGTACCCATCTCTGATGGCAACTTCCAGCAGGATAATACACCATGTCAGAAAGTTGGTTTCAAACTGGTTAATTGATCATGGCAATGAGTTTGCTGCAAAAAAATGTGCGATCCCATCACGTCAATATGGACAAAAATCACAGAGGATTGTTTTCAGCACCCTGTTGAAACTGTGCCATGAAGAACTAAGGCCGCTCTCAAGACAAAAGGGATCCAACCTGGTACTAGTAAGGTATTGGTAACCTGAAGAAAATCACTGGTTCAGATCAAACACTTACATGCTTGTAGGTGCCACCAGTAGTAGATAGCTCAGTGTAAGATCCTGACCAGCTGCAGAAGCTGTGTATGCTATCCCATTTCTGTTAAGTCCATCAATAAACTACCTAGGACTCAGAGTTAGGGATTGGGTCGATCCCTAACTCCTCCTTATAGAATTTTTGCCCACCTAAACCAAATAAAATTTAAAATATGCTTATCTAGAATGTGGCTAAAACAAAAACCCAGCCTTAACTCTAATGAGTTTCACCAGTACCCAGGTAGATATCCCTGAACTACTTTAGGTACTGAAACTAGCCAGTGCATCCTGGGAAGGCTTGCTTAATTGGAGATGGTCTCAGACTCAAACTACCATTTGTCAAGGTCACACAGATCCTTACATTTTCCCTTTTCCTACATTATAGTGGTTTTAATGTTTTGGCAACTTGGTGTATATTCTATTTGTCAGTCACAAAGGTAACTGGGCAACTGGATCTCTTTTCATTGGCGTATAAATAATAAAAATCACTAAATGTCTGCCGACTGCACACTATTAACATAACTAACTGTCAACTTTAAAAATGACAAAGTGAAGGTTATAATCAGTGTTGCAACACAAGATTTATTCAGAGCAAGAGATGCCAACACCAGCATGATAAAAATTGTACAAACTTCACAAGTCAAATTAAAATATCACATAGCAACTCATGACCTTAAACATACAGCAAAAATATCAACAGAAACCCATGCTATGTGGTAAGAAAACTGCTGTCGAAAGTTTTGCAAGTAACAGAGAAAAAGGGGTAAAAGGAGAGAAAATGAATGTTGTATAAAAACCCCTTATCTGTGCACTGCTGAAAAGAAATGATCATCTTCATAAATTGATGATTTCACAAATATTCATATGGATTTTCTTTTGCATTCTAGCGTGTCACATGTTAGTGTTGAGATTCTCTATGTAAATAGTTACAGTTTAGCTTTTACATCTGTTATTACAATATCTAGTCTATCGACTGTCTTTAAATGGCAGAATTGTGCTTTTACTCCCATTTCCTTTGTTATCAGTAAGAATAACTGACTAAATAAAAAATACAAGCTGTCAGTCTATCTAACGCAGAAGTTTACTGGCAGGAAGCTGCAGACGCCAAGTTCTGGACGAAGATGTAAAAGTCAGGGAATGAGACTTTGCAGTAAATGTCCAAAGAAGTCTTAAAAGAAAACTCCCCTCTTTGCAGTTTGTTTCTCCCTTGTGTGGACAAAAAAAATACATTAAAAAATGTATTTTAGTATGATGAGACAATTTGTAGTTTTTTACACAAGTAAATATTTTCCTCTCATTTATATTCATATCTAGACGAGCTGGTTATTTGTGCAGGTTTAAATATATCAGCACATACTGCTGCACCTGATTAAAGATTTATCAACATTTCTGTACTTTGAAGTATCAGTTTTCATTAGTACCGCTTGTCTAAAAACTTTCACATGGATACCAGCTGTATCAAGTGTTTCTGCTGGTAATTATGGTGGTGTAATTATGTATCATTTAGAAACAATCCAATAAATTGCTTTCCTTTAAAACATTAAATTGAACTTTTATGCTTGTATAAGTGAGGAAAATTTCACCTTTTCATCACTTTAACTGTCTAACTGCTATTACTAAGCTGTATAGTGCAAGTTCCAAAATTTGTCTTTATCCATGTATTACAATTTCAAACAAATATATTTTAAAAATATACTCAAACATTTCCACCCTAGATTCTCACGAGGCTCCTGGATCATATACAGTGATACTATTCATGTCTTAATTTGGTCCAGAGTGGCTTTACAGTAATATATCAGTCAGCGTATGCAGAGAAGCCCATCAGATGTGCAAATGTTTAAACATTTTGCATTGCATAAACACAGTTTTCCATCATGTTATCTGTTTCTATAAAGAATTAGGTTTGATTTATACTTGTTGTTAGTGTTATTAGTGATTAACCTAAAGTTACACTCGGTTGAATTAATCTTCTGGAAACATTGGGGGTTGTAATCGGCTTACAACATATAATCACGTTTTTATGTACACACAGAAAACATATGTGATTTTTTTCCTTTAAAAGATCCAAATATTTTGGAACTCATTATGGAACCACGCACCCTCCTTCCAGGTCTCAGGAGGTTAAGTCATCCAGGAGTCATCTTACAATGTCTATGCAGAAAATAAAAGGGCACTACAGTTTTCCACTCTGTTGACACCATATTTTGGAAAAGATGGCAGACATATTAAAAAATGATTATTGTCTTATTATCCAGTGCAAACACGTTTTAGAATGTGTCTGCATACCAAAGAAGAGATCCTGAACTGTGATGTTTCAGACAAAAGTTTGACCATGAAGACGTTTTCTTCTGCTAAATCTTGGACTGTGAAATAAAGGAGACTGGGGAGAGACCACAGGGGGAGTTTTCCCTTAATTAAATCAACTCAGTGAAATTTGCTTCAAGTTGCTTTCCAACAGGCATCTCCAGCGCAAAGTCTTATCAAAGTCAGTTTCCACAAACTCGCTGTACAGTTTTTGCTTCATTTACCACGTGATAATACTTTAACATACTCCAATAAAGTGCATGCATGATCGACGGTGTTGAGAAAACATGTTCCATCAGTACTGTGATTTCAGACCGAATGTCATCAGTAAGGCCGATTCAGATCAAATACTCAGTCGGTAAATTCAGTGCACAGACGTCACGACTGCTGGCTCTAGTTTTCATTCATCTTTTTCAATTACAAAGACTTAAAAAAGAAAAAAAGAAAAGCGGTGCTTGGTCATCACGTCGTCTGGCATCATGTCTCATTGTGGCTCAGACAACAAGATGCATGACTGGAAAGACGTTTTCTACAGAACGAGTGCAATTTACAATGAAGGATGGGAACTTTGACCCTGTTAGTCCAGCGGAGCCGTCAGCCTCGAGAAAGAAAAGTCATATCTACAGATCCGTTTGCCTGCTAAGTGCCTCTTAACGGGCAATAAAAACATCAAAACATGGAAACAAAGGTGTCCCTGTGCAAAGTCGAACATGACAGAACCAAAGTCCTCTCACCCGTGTCAGATTCCTAAAACATGATTGTAGTAAAAGGTTTATACAAAACGCAATACATTTATAGTTAGTAAAAAGATCTATCAGCTCTTTTCTAGTTTTATTCATAAGAAATTGCATATACCCAAACAACTTTTTTTCATATAGATTGCATCCCATATCTAAACAAACGCTTTAATATTATCATACCAATATTGCTGACACGTTGTTCTATTAGCTAGTCGAGGTTGATGATTTCAAATAAATTCACAATGGCAGATTGTCTCCTATATTTTCTGCAGCCATTGGTCTTTCCACTGGCACTCCCTCCCACGAACAAAGAAAAAGCGGGCCGCGGAACAGGACAGCTTTGAAACGGAACAACTCCGAAGGGGATGATGGGATTTTGCACCAGAAAGTTTCCGTGTCGTGATGTTTGAAATCTTCTTGCTCATAGCATCGCTTCTTCTCATAATTGCTAAAGATTTACATTAGTGTCCGCTTCCAGACATTAAGAGGAAAACAAAAAGAATTAATGAGCAACTTCCAAGCTCGTGAGAAGCTTTTCAGAAGTGGTTGCTCTTCATGTTCCAGTCGCCGCTCTGCTCCCTGTTAAACCCGTGACGCCCAGTTTGTATTTTTTTTTCTTCTGATGTATGAAAAAAATCGCATTAAAATAAAAAATGATTCAAGCTTACAATAAATAAATACATACATATACACTCGAATGTGCATACATTAGCAGCTATAAACAGTACATCACATTATATTAGGTCATATGAAAATGTACAAAACGTGAATGTTCATTTAAAACCTTTTTTTTTCAAAGCAAGGCAACAACAATCAACATAATAAAAAAAGAGATACCCATGGAGTTGAGAGCATTACCGCAGAAGAAATTAAAGAACTAATGATAGATTACAGCAGCAAAAAACAACCCACTCCGTTCTTTTTCCACTTTTTTCCCCCCATTTGTTGCTTTTGCTTTGCATTTGTTGTTCCGGCCTCAGTCAAAGTTAAACCTGGATGCCCTGCACGGCCTGTTTGATGTTCTCCAGCAGCGCCTTGTTCTCCGGGCTCTGGTACTGGTCCTGGTGGGTGTACATGTCTGTCAGTGTACTCACATAAGTGTCAAAGTTCTGTTCATTCATTGGTTCCTGTGAGGGGAAAGAAACCCATGTAGACACAATCAGGTGGGATAAAGGTGGCGGTTTATTTTCACTCAGACACTGGGGGGAGGTTTGGAAGACAGGCGGGCGGCAGGGGGAGGAAGGGACACCATTGGGAAAGCATGGCTTCACTAAAATACTCCCTTTCTAAAAAGTAAATGTACGATATTTGATGTAATATCAGCCGATTATCTACGAAATGCAACTCCAAACCATGCAAAAACCAGGTGAGAGATGGTTAGCTGGTGGGTATATGAAAGGTTAATGTTTAGCACATGGAGACAAAATTGTGATGATAAAAACTAATGGGATGCTAATGAGCAGATGGGAAAGACATAACTGGAAAGTCACGTTTGCCAACATGAGTTTTGGTGGTTCAAGTACTTCTCCGAGAGAGTGCAGCTTTGGCTTCAGGAATTTTGGTGTGTTATTTAATGATTGCCCACCTTAAATGTCACATTATGTTATAGTGTCACTATAGTCTTTGAGGTCTTCACTGACCTCCATTTAATACTTGCCATTTATAGGTTTTAAGGGACACTAATACAAATGACTATGTTGGTGCCTGAGCCAGTTGCCCTGCACTTAACTGCACTGCTGTCATTGCATCCTGCTAACTTCACACTGACTCAGCCAATCAAAGAATTTGAGTCCAGAGCCTCAAAAAGCCAATGATCCGTCTTTAATTGGCACATAAAAGTCAAATACCCACGTCTCAAGTTAAATGATTCACACACTTTCATTGTTATTAGCCTCTTTAATGGCCATGATTGGTCATAATACCCCCATTAGATGCCCTCCTGTACTAAGAGGAGACAGGAAGGTTGTTATCATCCATTCTAATCACTGAACATTGTAATCCTTAAATGAAGCGATCAACTGAGCCCACTAAGAGGTCTTTCTATTGTTCATTTAAAGGGCTTTAAATGGACAATAAAAAGATTTCAGTTATGTATGCTCTTTAATTAATAAGTCAATTTAGATCTTAGACAACCTACCTTTAATACTAGTATGCCAGAAGACTGCTATCACCCACTGTAATCAGTAGGATAAAAAAAAAAACCCAGTGACATGCCCACCGTTAAATGAGGGGATAATAGACTACTGAGCTACTGAGTGTTACTAGTTGATGGAAGAGGCTGCCTGCGGGCAAATCTATGGGACTGACAGGAGTCGTTTAATGGACTGAAAACAGTTAAAAGATGTGTGTGAATCTGGTTTCAGTGTATGTGCCCACCGAATAATACTCATTTTAGCTTTTCAGTGCTGGTGCAATAGCAAAGCAGATAATGCCGTTCGACTATAGACACCATAAAAAGCAGGACTTGGCTTCTGGGACTGAAAGAAAGAAGCGTAAACCAACTTTCTTTTTACTGGCCACCAGGGGTCGATACCTATGTTTACATACATACTTCAGTTCATAAAGTAATCAAGGGGATTTTACCTCTCTAAGTACTTTCCTGATGAGTTTATAGGTTTAGTTTATAGGTAAGCGGAAAAAAAAACATTACGTCATTAAGGCGCAGATTTGCAGTTAATGTCACGTTATCTAATGATTTATCTATCTAATGATTTCAGCATTTCAGTGCAGTCAGAAAAAACAAAGCAGGAGAATTTCTCACACTCTCTGCTGGGGCTAAATTTGATTTAAAGATAGATTTAGCTTCTCAATATACTTTTTGTCATAAAGAGGAAAAGCGGTTATCTACAGTTGATGTCACTATCAACATGGCTGAGTTGAAAGCTGCAGGATAAATGGATAGCTAGGATGTGCCTATGCCACAGTGAGCTACAGGAATTATAGGAAGGGGGGGATGACAGTGCAGAAGAGAAGGATAATTGGATAAAGGATAAATGGATCTCTTACTCTGGGAGGCATCTGTAAACAGCAGTTATGCTTTACTGGGGCCTCTTTCTGTGGCAGCGGTCTCTACAGGAGAGGGTGTACAGAGAAGTCTATTAGCCCGCTAGACACACAGCGGCGGTCACAAAGCTTCATAAGCTACACCGAGGAGTGAAAAAAACATAATGTCCGCCTTAACAAGTCTTTTCGCCCTGCAGCTCTGTTCAGACTGCAGCAAGCTTCCAGTTTCTGAATAATTTTAAAGTCAGAACGAACTGAAAGAGGTATAAAATGCCAAAAATAAAGAGACAACTGAGAGAACAAACTGTTACACTGCGAGCTAAAGTAGAATCAAAGATTTTAAGTCCTGCAGTGTGAACAGAACTTTGGATTCAGTTCAGTATTTTTCTGGTAATGAGATCGCGTCTTTCTGAGAATTCCTTGTTAAGGCGAATATTTTTCTTACAGTGTGATATGAAGCATTCCCGCCCATTAAAGGAAGAAGGAAAGGAAGCAGAGAGTCCAGTTATCAAGCAACTCCTGTTTTTACTGCTTTAAGAGATTATCCAATTAGCCCCAGTCTTCTTCCGACACTGAGACAACATGACGTTAAAACAGCCATGAGCAACTTCACTGAAAGTCAACCAAAAACAAAAAAGCAACAACAAAAGAAAGAAAACAACGGGCCGTTTCTTTATGTGAAAATCTGTGAGGCGTTTCAAAGCACAGGAGAAGCACAGCATGAACTGCTGGGAGGGAAAAAAAGAAGAAGAAGGTGGAGAACAGAAAGAAGCAGATGAAGAAAAACCTGAGTGTTGCTAAGGGGGGAAGAAGCTGGAGAAGGCTTTTTAAAAATCCCTGGGTCGAAATCATGAACAGCTGGCCTCAGATCTACATTTCATTTACAACACGTGAAACAGAAAAGCCTCCAACAAACACTCAAAACACAATCATAACATTTTCTAAGTGGCATTACACAAACTGTAACAGATATAATAGGTCATGTCAGACAAAGAACATAGAAATAAATACATAGATTTGCATTTCAGTCCATTTGGAAGTTTTTGCTCTTGCATAAATTAAAAAAAACACTCATTGGCTAATGCATGCTGGTTTATGCACGCTGGTTTTAGGCTTTATGACACTCTCACTGCTCTAAAAACTCAGCTTCAGACAGTTGTTTTTTCTAGTCGTGGGTCTGCATGATGTCGGATAGTGGAACTATCCCAAATATGGTCATCTCAGGCACAGAAGCCCCACCCACCTTTATAAGGGGAATTTTTTTTTAACTGTGACACATTCAAAGTAAAGTCCAAGAATAAAAATAAGATCCACTTTAAACTGCTAAGAAAGCTAACACTGCTCTAAAACTGCTGTATATTTGTTCTGAGATGTAATTATTTATATTTGTCTTTGTATTTAAAGCATGTTGTATACTGACGTTAAACATACAAGATTTTCAAACCAGTAAATTCAAAATTTTAAATATTTAACTGACATTTATAAGTCTCTAGATATTTAAATTACACGTTAAGGAAGCTTATATTTGTGGTAAAAGAATACTTGTCACATTATTAGTCATCCTAGGTTTACTTCTTCATGCCACAGATGATTTTTTTTTCTTACCATGTGTGGAAGCTGGATGTTAGCTAGGCTGTTGATGAGCGACTGGCTGAGGTTAGCCAGCTCGTGCAGCAGGGAGTCGTTCTGCTGCTCGATCACCTTGTTCTCCTCCTCGATGGACTTCAGGTTGGTCTCCATAGTGGTTATCTACCAGATGAGGAAATAAATTAGTAGGAGATCTTTTAAAGCTTTTGTATTAATAGTGACATTAGCAAAATGGCTGGGAAGAGTGCAAACAATCAACCAACATTAACTTCAGACAATTTTAGGAGAACTGAGTCAGCATATTGCCCACAGATGTCCTCTCTCCCATGTAGCACACAGCACTTGCATTTGCACTACTGGAGCTGGTTTAGGGAGCCTCCGTGAAAACCCACAATGCCCACCTGGTATTGGTAAATGCACTGACTGACTATTAGCTGAAAGATTACACGGATTGTTGTACTCAAAGATGGCAGATTAAACACTGTGTCCTGTGTTACTGTGTTACCTACAAGTAAAGTAGGAAAGTCTTGCAGATGAAGGAAGATGCAGATGTTATGTCCGTGCAGGTTCTCAGTCATCCAAGTCACATAACATCTGCATCTTCCTTCATCTTTTAAAAAGAAGGCAGCTCTGGACCAAGAGGCTTCTTCAATTCTAAACATTTTTTAGAACTAACATTGATCTTCAACAAACTTAAAGAAGTTCTCTTCAACTTCTTAAAAAGCATGTTAAACCAAGCAAGATGGTTGCTGAGGGCAGGATTTTCTTATGAAAGTATTTTTTATGAATGCCAAAAGTTCCTCTAACCCTTTCAGATTAAAAGTCTGAGTGCAGTTAAGGTGCAAGATTTATTCTTTGCAAAAATTATTAGAAGAAAAAGAAAACATTGAAGGTTTTCATGAACTTAAAAAAACAGCATCATTTTCAAATAATCAAATAATTTAAATATCGAGGAGAATTTTTTTTGTCAAATAATGTGACAAAAACATTTCTACTGGAAATAGCAGCTTACTGGGACACCTTTATCTCTGTCTATTACAGGACAGTCTAGTTTCTTACCCAACTAGTGTCTTACCTATTTATTTGCATTTATGTTACATTAATAAACAGAGACCATCTTACTTGTGTCCTCAGTTTTATCATGTCTGACTCCACTTGACTGTTGGACTCATTCAGATCTTTGATTTCTTCATCCAGCTGTTTGATTTCTTCATCGTTCTCGATACCTGAAACAAAAAAAACCCAACAAAAATCCATCTCCCCTGACTTAACGGTCAAAGCAGCATTACCGCATTTTATCACATGTAAAATGTCTAATATAAAGAAATTAGTTTTTTTCACTCTTTCAGATATATATATATATATATAATAATTCATTTAGGTTAAAGCTTCTTCCGTTTCTTGAGCTCTGACCTTTGCTTGCTCTTTGTTTGATTGTCAACATTTCCACGCCACTCATCCTGGCTTTCTTCATGGCTGAGGTGGCGCGGGGACAACCGGAGAGACTGGGAAAAAAAATAAACCAAATGTATCTTCAAGTTAAAAAATGTATCTTATTTTTGCATAGATAACGTCATACAAATCGCTGCCTTATTTGAAAAACGGTGACCAAAAGCCAACAGCATGTACAGCAGGAGGAGAGGACCTGAATATTGGTCATTATTTACCCCCAAAATTGTATAAATTGTATAAAAAAGTTGGAACTGATGACAAACTTTGTTTAAAGTAAGAAAGATCTTACCTCCGGTGGGTCAGGAAGCTCCCACTGACGTGCCCTGAGCCATCACAGCCCGGGGTCGGGCAGGTCATGCCATCTGTCTTGCCAGATTTCCAGACAAACTGCGAGCCATTGACGTAGCTGTCCTTTTGCCTCTTTGCCGCAAGGGGGCAGCCTGATGCGCTGCGATGAGAAGCATACTTCCCCGTCACATGACCCTGACCATCACAACCCGGCACTGGACACCTGAGAAACAAGTATAAAGGTCTCAGTTTGCTTTTCAAAAAAAAAATTAAAACACTCCACAGTTCTAACCTGAAGTGAAGTCTTGTCACCTCCAAAAAGCTTTAGTTTAAGAAAAGACTAACGCAGCCAGCCACGCTAACCATCATCAGCTCTTTGATCAGCTGGAAAGAAATACTTTGCTTTAGAAACTGTCCACAGCACTCCATAGGACTCTTGATGAATGGGGGAGGACATTGAGTCACGACTCACTTCCTCATCTACAATCCTCCCCCACCTTTCCAAGGCCTCAAGGCCACAGCAGCGTAACGATGAGCAGGACAAACGCCTATCACCTCCTCAGCTTCCAGACACTCAGCTCTGCCTCCTGCATCCCAAAACGCCCTTCGCTGTGACATTTGGGCTGATTAGAATGAGCCGAGCGTCCACAGGCCGCTCCCCAGCCGAGCTCAGGTTAAGCTTAATTATGATTCTACTGTTAATGATGATGGTGGATGGAACAGAGGCGGCGGCGGCAGCTGGCTACAGACTGACACAAGCTGAACTTTAGATTATTCACAAGGTCGTATTGGCTTAGCATTATGGCTCAGCTTTAACACAAATGTCAAAGGCTCACTAGAGCTAACCTTTATTGGACTTGGTCTGCTGGGAGCCGGAGGTGGAGTGCAGCACTGACCGCAGCTCCCCGCTTTTGCAATATTCTTTGCAAAAGTTAGAAAGGTCAGTCTACATAGGCAGCATTTTAAGAGAGGGATGATGGATGAACCTGTCATTAACAAAGTGCTTTGACCTTGATGCAAAAAAAATGCATAATAATGGGACCTGGAATGTGCTTTTAAGAGGCAACGAAACAAGCCAGTCCTCCCTCCTTGCTGATGATTTGAAAAGTCTAACTGATGCACCTTCTCTCTTTTCTCTAGAAAAGTTGTCAAAAGATGAGAATCCTGTTCTACCCGTTTAAAATACACGGCAACAGTTTAACCTGTTATTTTAATTCTTCATATATCCATTAGCAAGTGCAGCAATCCTCCACAACACCTCCAAAGTCCCCAGATTCCAATCCCACCGACCTCACCAACAAACCTGCACAACCCAAGGAATGACCCCACTTAGAGTTTGACATCACTAAATGTTTTGTTCTCTCTGACTTATTGTATTTTTTGGCAAGGTGTTGTTTCAAAGATTTATTCTCTTAAAATCCAATATCTGCCTTAAAATAATTATTTTACATTTAAGGGAGGAACATAAAGATGCTGATGAGCATGAATAAAACCAACAACGACAAAAAAAATTTTTAAGAGAAACTAGAATTTGCTTTTCTACAGCACTGTTATTGTTCTATAAGCTTTAATATAGTGGTAGGATCCAAAAAACAGGACACCTAAGCCCTGTATTTGTAGACCTTACATAAAATCTATGAGCAACATCTCAGTTACTGGTCTGAAATCTGTTTGTTGTTTTTTTTACTTGTTCTTTGTTTTGTCTCAGACAGTTTAAGAACACCAGGGAAGAAGCTGATAGAATATGGCAAAAAACTGTCTCATACATCATAGGAAAATATTTAAGAAGTGCATTAACTTTAAATGAATGCACAACCTTGAATCTAGTCAGATCTTTAAATGTTTAAGAGCTTTGGTAATTTTTTGAGTGGCACTGTCTTTGCCCCTCATTTTGCTTGGGTTTACTTTTAATCTTAGACCTGACACTTTCCAATATTCTCAATATTAAGGCTGTGACATATCTCCATAATATCTCCTTACTTGATTGGCTCCTGATCGTCTTTGTCCTCTTTGCTGTGGAGGATTTTTATGCCACTTTTCTTGGCTCGTGGACAACCGGACAGACTGCAGAACAGAAAATTACTTAAAACATGTGCGTTTAGTGAAGCATGGTTTACTGTTGCTGTTTGTTTGTCTGCGATTGCACGCAGTTGTATATTATACTCTTTACGAATGTACCTCCTGTGGGAGGCATAGTTTCCAGTGATGTGTCCAGATCCATCACAGCCGGGCGTTGGACACCTGAGGAGTAAATACAAGATCAAACAACTGTATTATCACATAATGGTTCCTGTGTGGAAAAAAAATGAAAGACTACATCCACAAAAATGTTTTCTTTTTCCGTGAATGTCTGACATCAGACACTCACAGTTCTCACAAATCAATTACAGTAACACATTAGAGTGGTACCCAAAGCATCACAGACAGGACGGAATGGTTTTAGGAAAACCGATGACGGATGAACCAGAGAAGAGCGGGCTCTAAATCCAACCATAGAAAAAGTTACACACTTTTAAATGAAAGGACACTGAATGGACAGCAGTCGATATTTTTAACATTCTTTCCTTCCCACACTTTCCAGTCTGCTGAGAACAACACACCAGTGATACACTGATCCTGTTGACTCACTTGAGTTCTTGTGAGTTAGTGGTCATCATCCCGCGGATGTTCTTGTCGGCCAGCTGACAGCTTGACAACCTGCAGGAGGAGAAGAGCCACTATTACTTTAACACCACCGACAGTTTTACAAACATGCTCTCATCCCAGGGCCACACATAATGTGGTTTTCTCCGACGATGGCTGTGTCTCACTGTTACACACAAGAGTTATTTTTCTTTTCTTTTTAGCAACAGTGCCTTGTTGGACTGGCTGCAGGAACATTGGTCACTGTGACATAAAGATCCTGTTTTACAGACCTATGGCAAGCACCTAGGTGGTGCTGGTGAAACTCATCACCAGGATTGTGGCAGCACTGTGCTACTCATGCCAGGTGTCGTTAACATTTGTCATCTTTTGTATTTTGTGTCTGTCCTGCTTATTGTTTGTGGGTTTCTCTGGTTGCTCCACTAAATCTGGGGTCTCTTCCTGTTAAAGCGCAGTTCTTCCTCATTACTGTTGCCAATCAGTCACTTACAGGGGCTTGCCTGACTGATGAGCTTCTCACTATACTGTAAGGCCTTTACTTGGAAAAATGAACTCAATAAGCCAAAGGCTTACTAGCCAGGATACCAAGATTTGTGCTTCCTTTAGAAATTTGAGTTTTACAGTTTGTTTGATTTCTAAGTCATTAGTTGGGTTTAAGTTCAACTATTTGGTTACAAAAACAGCACACAAAAGCACAAGAAAAAGGACTTGGATCTGACAAACACCTTCCTTCCCAAAGACCAAACACCTTCTGCTAAAGATGTTTGATTACAAGGAAAAAGAAGAAAGTGCATCATTTGTGGTGTATCTCTAAATTCTCCACCAGGAGCAACCACCTCATGAGCCTCTGTTGGAATTTCATTCATGTTTGGAAAGCAACAGACTTACTTACGGTCAGTGAACAAAACAGTGGAGCTAACATACACTTCATAGATAGAAGTCCTCTTTCTTGACGGTGTTATGTTAACTGATGGCTGATGATTTTTTTTTTTGATGATGAAGTAACTGGTTTAGGAAAAAGATCGGGATTTGGAACAAAACACTATTCTTCACACCAAACATGATGAGTCAGGAGTAACAGCCAAAATGTGTCCCAAATTCTGAATGAAAGTAATCTGATTACATGTAGTTTTATACTATGGGTTAAGCTGTTCAGCCTTTTGAAGATGCCAGTGTTCACATTTTGGACGGGAAGCCAGATGGTTTGAAATCAGGGTAAAAGCGACCATCCATGTCCACTGTGATTGTCCATCACTGAACAGAGGAGGTGGCTTACAACACCAACAGTGGAGTCTTAAGATCCTTTCCCAGGTGTCAGGTGACCTCTATAGGTCACATGGTAGAATGAGGTTAGGTCTCAAAGTAGTTTCACCCTAAACCCCGGTGGTAATGACCCATGCCGTTTTTCACACCTTGGCTCATCTGCTCACACAGATGATTAATTATGGGTCAACAACCACCTCTTAAGGGACAATCCCCACTATGGTTTAAATACCTGTGACTCTTAACCTAAAGAAGTCCAGTCGCTTCCATCCAAGCTCCTTAGACTCTGATGGCAAAGAATCTTTTCTTTTTTGAGTGTACCATGTTTCCACATTTCACAATCCAAAGTGTGGAAATACTAAAATCTCTACGAGAATTTATTTTTTTTCTTTAAAAATTTTGAATTGAAAGAAACTTGAAGTTGCTGAAACAGGTCAAATAACAAGCAGAAGTAAAACGTAAACTTTGCACCGCAGGAGTGATGAGCCTCTGTAAGGGAACGATTAGGCTAAACACGCATAACAGAGATTTTCTCTGTCCTCACATGAATCCTGCTTCACTCATGCAAAAAATTCACAGCCTGAAGTCTTACTTATTTTGTTTGTTGGTTGTTATGCAGTCTTCAAAGTAATTAACCAGATCAATTAAGGGAAACTGCTCTGGGATGATTTTGATGTCTGACCCTCCTCCAACTCAGACGCCTGCCTCATAGTCGAGAGTTTCAGATTTTATTTGCTTACACGAGCGCCCGTGACACAAGCTGATGAAAGTAAAAACGATTTGGCCAGTTGCCCAAACCCCAAAGAAAAGGCTCGATCAGGACACATGCTATGCATAGCAAAGAAGCGAAGCAAGCTCCTCCACAGTTACTTGTTTATATCACACACTTCTCCTGATATGTGTGTGCTGTGAAGTGTCTGCACTTATTGAGCTACAGTGAGGGGAAAAGCAATATATCAATAAAAATGATGAGAACTATTTTTTTTCTTTTGGCCTGTGAATTCCTGTCATTAATAATCCTGAGCTGTTAGCCTTTGTCTTATTGGCTCTTCAGCAGCTGGCGACAGAAGATGGTGCGAACGCCTGTGTCACATCTGATGAAGCCTCTCAACGAGATCAGAAACACCATGGAGACTAAAACGCGCACTAATGTGCCGATCTCCGTTTCTAAATTTACAAGGTTGCTAATTAGTTTCGTTCCCGCTTCAAACTCGTACTGTTTGTCTTTGCTATCTGCTGATGTTTCAGCGTTATGTCTATATTTATGTACTTTTGTAAGACTGCTGCACCATCAATTTAATGAGACAGGAAAGTGAAGTGACATATAGCGCATCGTGAACCTCAGCTGCCGTTGACTGAGGGTTTCTCGCCGTCCTTCGACCTGAACGTGAGAGTGTTTGGCTCAGAGGCTGCTGGGTAACAGCGTGCAGCAGATAAGAGGTACGACTTACGTGATGAGCTCCTTCTTGCTCTCCTTGCAGGGCAGGTATTTGTGGTGCTTGGGGCTGGGCATGGTCACCTCGGCCGGGTAGTGCTGCTCATCCAGCAGCTCCTGGAAGGGATCCAGCTCGTCGCTCTGGTGTAAGGACGAGAAATAGGCCGACTACAGCGCGTCACTAAAAGCTCTTCGTTTACAAATTTACACAAACTTCACAACACATTCCTATTTCAAACACAGGAGACAACAAGGTTATGTGAAAACAGCATGCATTATCAGGTAATGTTAGGTTTTCCTTAGTCAAAGATAATGTTATCCTCAGTGAAACAGTCGTTAGACGTAACATTAATTAGACATTCCTCATGTCTGAACACACTGCTATGATATATTAAATTAATTTGTGTTCCATAACAACTTTAGAAGTAATTAAAATAAATTTAAAAAGTCAGAATTAAAAGAACATTTTAATTTACTGAAATAAAAAATAACTACAGATGCAAACAAAGAGGGTAATATGTAAAGACATAACATTAAAAAGTCAGACATTAAGTTTGTGAATTTAATGTCAGAATGTATAAATCTTCTATGTCATCTCACAGAATATGTGCTATTGTCATTCATATGTATTTCCTGCCATAAGTAAGAATATTACCCTCCACTGTAGTTTAGCTGATTTTAACCCACAACAGGGCTTCATCTCATTTATGTAAAAAATCAATATGTCACAAAGTGAAAACTTTTTAGGCGTTATCCAAAATGTTACAATCTGAAAGTTTTAAAGGCTAACTTATAAAAATGTGCAGATTACAACATGTACAAATATTGTGTGTTATATATAAAACAGTTAAAATCAGGATTAGGAGAAACAAAATGACTGGAACGATTCTCACATTAGTTACACACAACACATTTATCTCAAAAATTCAGAAGAAAACCTGATTCATTCTACATGAGTTGAATAAAATATGGAGTTTTTCCTTACATTAAGGTTAAAAAAATATTCTATAATCCTCAGGAATGTATTTGGTATATAGATCTTTGCTTAGAAATCTAAAAAAAGTGCATTATAATCAGTGTTTTAGAAAACATTTGGCCTTTTTTTAGAACCTCATAAACCTGAATCAGTGTAGTGTGTCAGTGCCCAGAGAGCTACCTGTCTCTGTATATAGCTCTGCTCTCTTTCTCTGTGTGGTGGAATACTTTTAAACATATTGATATAGATTTAATTTTAAGAAACAAATTATAAACATACCAGGGAATTATTGTGGACATAAATCGAGTGCTTTGGCATTTATGTGTGTACGAATAACTAATAAGAAGAGCCTGATTTATAGCATTTAAGTCCCTTTTTAATGTAGCTGTATGAGTCATATCGATTTAGTGTCCCTGAAGTTCTGGTCATAATAAGCAGATCTGTACTGGTTGCCAGATGACTTCCAGATAAATGTGTTCCCAGCACAGGTGTCAGAGGCGTGTCTCTCTGCTGGTTAACCAGGTCGAGCTTCTTTCTGCAGCAGTTTGTGAACAAAAAGCTTTTGTGGCTCTAAGAACACTGCAGTCTGCTCTGCAGTCCACACATCACACCTCCTCAGTCGGGAGCAAAAATCGTTGTGGACTGTCTGGAGAAAATCCCATCAGACGCCTCGCTCTGGGCTCCGGCCTCCTCTGCAATGTCGTGCTTCATTAACAAACGCAATTACTCTCCTGATTAAAACCTTTCACTCCAGCGCTCTAAATCCAACGAGGCAAATGTAGCAATTTGCTGCATGGGTTGCTCTGTGTGATATCAGATCTGTGAGGATTTAAAGCGTGCCGATGATCTATCGTGTTTTACTTATGTATTAGTGCTGTAATTCAGTATTTTAATGCACCGTGTGTGAGCTCCTGAAGCATTCATTTAGTCTGAACCATGCAGTGCTGCCTCTGGCCACATGGGAGCGCACTGAGCCTTCCGGAGAGCCTGTCTGCATCCACCCTATCAGCCAGGGTTATTTATCAAACTGCACAGAGAAATTTGAACTTGCATGAGATAAAAATGGAAATTCTTGACTTTTACTCCCCAGAAACTTTAGATTAAAACCCATTTATCAAACTTATTTTGTCTCTGTTCACTTAGATCTTAGATTAGTGTTGCAGTGCACCGACAACGTGGATGGACTGCAACGGCTGTGATGAATAGCTGTAACCCTATTTATGCTTGTATTGTATCACAACTTTTTGTTCTAAAAGACTAAAGCCGATTGATCCTTTTGTTCCGTGCCACATTGTAAGATTTTCTCTGATTTATTGCATCTCCACAGCACGAACGACTTCCCTTTTATGTGTGTAATATAAAGTTAATTTCACAGTAGTGTATTAAGACTGGTAACACAATAACAACAATCTTCATAAATGGAAAGTGGATAATTAATTCAACTTTACAGGTTTTTACAGCCAACAAAAAAATCCAGTGCAGTAGCAGAATAAGTCAAAAGTGGCACTGCGTGAGCCTGAAATTATTTTATAAGGATTACGTGTTATGTAAAGGGGTGAAAGAAGACGTAAAAGTCATATTCCTATTGAAGTCATATTTTACTCCATATTTGATACAAATTTTTATTAGATACTGATATATTTAATATATCTAATATTATAGATATTAGATTATATATTAGATGCTGACTTGCTTAGAATAGTCAGATATTGTTTTTTTTATTTACTTATTTTTTAGGAGACCACACCAAGGAGCTGGATAAAAGAAAAGAAAAGTATATTTTCAAAATAAAAGACCCAGTTTCTGCAGACCAAGCAGTAACCTCCAGAGCTGAAAAACGAAGCCAGTGCAGAGGCACCAAAACTGCAGTTCCTCTAATGGCCACTTGAGGCTGACTCCAAAAGTGTATCATTCCCCAGACTCTCATGTTAATATCTCCAACTTTACTGCAGAAATAAGTATCTTTCCCCCTCCATATCAGTGCTTTAAAAAAAAATCATTCATCCAACTGTATAACGGAGTTAGGGGCGTCGCCATCTTCAGTGACAGGTGCTCTGACAAAGCTGCCAGGCCATTACTCAGATCAATAAACTGGACTTCTCTGCCGTGTTTAACAATAAAGTCAATTTTGTTTCTATATAACATTTTAAAAAGGAGTTTTATTTTGAAAGTTTAACTTATCCTTCATCCCATTCTTGCGTCTGACTTTCTGTCCTCCTCATCTGCTCTTCGCATGTCAAAGATTCACCAAAATAGACACATTATTATAAGAACAGCAACACAAACTAAACAACATTTGATGCCCCGAGAAATACGAATGAAACTTTTATCACCAAAAATAATATCTAAAAAAACTGATGCATTGTGCAATATCTACTTAAAAAAAAACCGAAATAATTACTTATTAATGTTTTATTAACGATTACAGTTTATATGTGATGGTTACTATAAAGTGTTATTTAAAGGCTTAAAAAAAGACACAGCTCGACTTTAAAGTTTAAATTACTTATGCTTTGGCAGAATAACATCACTGAGGTAACTCAGCAGCTAACAGCAATAAAGCTCTGTTTCTTTGTTTTCACTCATACACTTCGCTGTAAGTCTCTTGTGTGAGATGTGTGATGGCGTTTCTTCTTTTATATGATTTTGCAATCTCTCTCTTCAACGGTCTTTCTTTATTATTCTTTTGTTGAACTGTGTCTGTTTGGTGGCTCCAGGGTGAGGGGTAAACAGCAGAAACTGAGCGGCGATGTACAATTTTGGCAAGCACCATCGTTCTGTGCCATTTCAATGCCTTGGGTTGGTGAAGAAGTGCATGCAAACATAATAAACCCTTCCAAACTCACAAAATTTCCTCTTGCGTATGTAAAGTGATGCAAAAATTATGCGTAACAATCGGCAACCAGAAGTACGCCCTCGCAAAAAATAAGCCCAGAACTTCTCTATGGGCCTTTCTGCTTTGCACCGCAGAATAAGGATTCCCTTCTAACAGCTTATAAACTATGATCATCTTCTAATCTATGCATGAACACATAATATAAACTCTGGGTTCCTTAAATCTCTCAATTTCATGCTTGAAATTATCCTTACTTTGCACGATTAGGGGCCTAAATAAATCTTAAATCAAGTGCTTAAAACCCTTAATCATAACTGTAAAGGCAGAGAGTGCAGCAAGAGCAACATTTAGAGCTTTAGCGTGGCCTAAAAAATATTTAACTTCCACCTCTTCAGGTTACTTATTCAAAGCACTTGTCACCTTAATCCTAAAATGAAAAATTCAAGGTGTCTCTGCCTCCATATCATTAAATATTTTAAGTTTTAATCAAGCATACTGTAGTACAGAAATTACTGTCTACATTAGTTTGTGTCAGTGTAAATATTAATCTGCTCCCTGCTGAGCTACGTTTCTATATAAACTACTTAAAGTGGTGCAGAACCTCCCGTAAGGACGTCCTGCAAGCTGTGTAATAATCTGCCGCAACACAAACTCTAGTCTTCTTTGCTGCATTTAAATCAGTAGATTTTAAATATGTAGTGTAGATGCTGCTAATGTGATCAGTGATTCTGAAAAGTATTTTGCAGAACTTCAGATAACAGTTATTTTGAAAGCCAGCAAATTCCTCATAACTGGTTTATAATTTCCGATGAAGGCTCTTTGAACGAAGTTTATCAGTTGGTACAAATAAATCTAATTGTTTATTTCCTACAAGTCACATAATTTCAAATGAGTTGCTTCAGTAATTTGGTCTGTAAGTCAGTGCATAGCAGGTCAGCTCAACATCTACAACAAGCTAACAAAGTTTTAACAAAGGCTGAATTTTTTTATTTGAGTTTATTAAAGTTAACCTATAAATCTGTTCCTTATTTTCTGTTATATACATACTGCCACAGTGTTGAATGCCCATTTTACACATGGCCAAAGTCTGAAATGATGATGTCAGTGTATGTGCAAGTAGTCCCTTTGAGCTGAAAGCTCAGGATTTCAACTGCTCTAAACACCCAGTTTCAAATGTTTTTTTCTACTCTTGGCTCTGTATGATGTCATTGGGAGGGGTTATCCTTATATGGGCATCTAATGGTAAAGGCACACTAGTAAACCTCCTTGTGATTGTAAGTATTTCTTTGCCACAGCTACTACAGAGTCTCGGGGTGTTGCACACTCAACCTCTAGGTGACCACTTTCAACTGCAAGCAGATGTCACAGATGCAGTATCGTTTAATCACCATACTACACTACGTCACTATTTGTAGAGGAATATCTGAATTTGCATCCATCGATTTTATTCCGCTATTCCACCGCAGCGAAGGCTAAGGGAAGGAGCTAAAAATGCTTTTTTCATAAAGGCTATGAAAAAAAGCTAGAAAAAGGCTGTAAGGCTCATTTTGATCTGTGACTTATGCAAAGCTACTCTAAAAAGTAAAATAATAAAAAGCATAAATTTGTAAAAGGGCATTATAGTCTATTTAACGATATCAGTGAATCGGGAGACCTCTTGTGAGGAAACACTCACAGAAAATAAACTCAACAGTGTCAGGACTTTTTAATTGCCCTTTAATAAAAAGTCAGTATATATAGGAAACTTTAAAATACCTACAAAAACACACCTTCCACCAAGGCCCATGACCTATTTTAATTAAATATGTTTAGACGTGCTTTGTCAGTGCTCTTCTTTTCAACCAAGTTTCATGAAATTTCACTTGGCAGATTTTGAAAAACCTTGCAGGCAGACAAACAGCATCAAAAACACACATTTGAACAGCACTGCAAATAAAACATTTTA